TAGGGACGGGCCATAAGACGAGTAAATTTTAGTTATATTTTGTAAACAAATGTTTTGGCCCTTCAATTTTTGTAATATGAGTTTTGGCCCTTCAATGTTTCATTTTTCTCCATCCTTTTATGTAAATTTATATGTTTTTTTTTAAATTCAGCATTGTAATACAAAATATTTATGGTTAAACTTATACAATTTAAAATAAAATCCATAAATATATACTATATTTTTAGTTGTTTTTTAGCAATGCTAGGGATCCTTTCCCAAACCAACTCCTTCCATTCAAATGAACTATTATTTGTTTTCGAAATTATTTGAAGTTTTTTGAAAGTGCAACCAAACACGGTTGCAATCTTACAGGGTCGAAATCACATTTAAGTTGCAAGAGTGTCAATGTCGTGGTTCGAAAAAAATATAATAAATTTTAAATTTACACGATATTAGATAGCATTTATCCAACTTAGATATATAATTTTCCTTTGTTTTTAATTACTTGTTAAAAACATTATGTTGTTTTCAGTGTATTATAGAAAACTAACAAGAGGGAAGCAAAACAATTGATGAAAGTGAGTTCCATCAAACTTGTGGTATTGATTTATACCACATTTTCCCTATAATAATATAGTTGCAATATAACTGTAAAATAATCAGTTAATAGAGATTTCTTATTCGTGCACCATAAAATTTCAGTACTTGATTATTGAACGGGGTGTCACATAATGTTTTCTTAACAATCGAATGATCCGATCAATGTCGTAGCTCCATCACATTCTTACGATTCGATAAAATTAAATAAAAATCGAAAAATAATAATTTATTTCAAATTAGGAACTCCATGACTTTCTTCCAAGATGGACGGCTAGAAATATCGATCCACCAAGCGTACACATTCTTCCTCCCTTTGATCAAATCCTCCATCCCTTCTTCCATCAGAAATCTCGTGTTTGGCAAGTGGCTCACATCAGCTATGGTGAACTCCTCTCCAGCCAAATACTTGCTCTTCGACAACCTTTCCTCGTACACGTCGAGCACTTTTTCCAATTTGCCCTTGCAGTCGCGGACTAATTCCAAGTCCGTCCCTTGACCCATTCGGGGCAAAACCAAAAGTTGGAGGACCATAGTGTAAATTAATGAATTGTAGTTGTTGACTTCTACTTCCAGCCATTGATCCACTAAGGCTCTCTCTTCCAATGTTTTCCCGTAAAGGTTGACTCCCCCATCTCTTGCACATTTTGCTGCGTAGTACCTGATTATTGCTCTAGATTCTGCTCTCCAATTAAATATAAATAAATAAAATATATATAAGAGGGATTAATTTTTTTCAGAATTTATGGAATTTGAATATAATATTTTAGTGAATTATTAATTAATTAATTAGTTACCAAAAAGCCTGAAATCACCATCCTCTATGGCTGGAACTTGTCCAAAGGGCTGAAATTGCAAACGAGTAGTGAGTTGATTGTAAAGTTACAAGACGATGATTAATGATATATAAGTTTTTAAGAGGGCCGAAATGAAATTCTGGAAAATTATTACTTGACTTATAGATGGTCGGTTTTACCTAATAACTAATAAGCAACTCATTCTTTCACCAAAATATTTTCATCAATAATTGGGTGAATTACACTTTTTGTACTGCATGTTTCACCTGATTCCACTTTTGGTCCATCTTGTTCTTAAGTGAACAAAATGCACATCAAAAAACTCAATTTTAAACACATTTAATCCCCTCTGTCACGTGCGTGCCCGTTCACATCTAACGGAAAATACTATTTGGAGGCTAAAATTGAAATTTAAAATTCTTTTTAGGTTACAAATAGAAATTTAAAGTACTATTTATAATTTTCTTTATATAATATTTAGTATAGATAAAAATTAAATTGAATAATATTTTAATTTTAACAAACAAAATGCAAATGGGAAAATTACCCTTTTCGCCCCACAAGTTTACCTCGATTTCGCATTTGGTCCCCATGTTCATAAAAAAACAGATTTAGTCCCACATGTTTCAATAATTTACCGTCAATTTTTTTGTTAGTATTGACGGAATCAAGCATGTGACCATTACTCTCTTAACTGATAACCATAAATTGACGAAAATGACAAAAAATGTCATATTGTTGAAACACGAGGGACATAATGTGATTTTTGTGAACATAGGGAGACCAAATACGCAATCGGTGCAAACTTGAGAGAGGAAAACAGTTATATTCCCAAATGCAAATATATTAATCTTTTGATGTCTATTTTGTTCACTTTAAAATAATAGGGGCCAAAAGTATAATCAGGTGAAACATGAAGGGGCGGAAAGTGTAATTCTCCGTCAATAATCACACATCTATCATCAATCCACTAAAGACTGGTTTAGTAGGAAGTAATAATATTCAAGAGTGACATAACACAAATCAAAAAAAAAAAAAAAAAAAAAAAAAAAAATTGACCTGTCTGAGTAGGAAGTCTGGTTTTTTGTGCTGTCCAGAGAGAATGTCAATTGGTATGAGCTCAAATTCAAGACCCAATTCCACAAGACAAGTTAAAACCCTCTGTGGGCAAGCTCCGTAGGCTGGACCAAACACTTTAACCACCATTTTTAACAATACTTTGGTCCCTTATGAAATTGGGATATATCTATATTCAATAAATACCTTCTATATATATATATATATATATATATATATATATATATATATATATATATATATATATATATGTGTGTGTGAAGAAAATCATGTTGAATGGTGGGTACTACTTCCCTCTTTCTTTTATTATTGTTAGGTTGACGGGTACTCATTGTTTTTCTCCATTGAATAAGAAAGTTGGGTGCTGAAATATAAATTAGGTGCAATGTTTATTTATTTACTTATTTTTATGGGGCAATTTGTTAAATATCTCTGGACACTGATCTTCTTTCACATAAAGATAGTCGGAATTATTGGCAATTTGCTAAAAGTCTTTAATTTTGTTCTCCGGTTCCGCCTTCATCTTGTCTAACGAATTGCACTACGTCATATTCGTACAACTTCATAACACTCCGTCAAATCTGTCTCATCCCTTATTCCCGCCGCTACCATCGTCGAAATCTGCCACAAAACCCACCCACGCATTATCACACACCTAAAATCACACACATACGTACACACATACGATTTTGGTTATTATCCTTCCCTTTTGAAATCAAAAACGAAAAATATGAAGAATGGTTTGCACGTGATGGCAAATGGCAATGTTGGTGGTCACGTCGACACCAGAGACTTAAGTTTTTTTTTTTCTTTGGTTTATTTTAACTAAGTTGTGCAACAAAGCTATGCAAATAAACTTTCTAAGTTGTCTAATTAACTCAAACTTTATGGTAAAATTATATGAATACATATATTTTAGCTAATCTTTTGCTTATTAATGTAACTAAGCTTTGTAAATAAGTTTTATATGTGATGTGGGATCTATTTTTGTTTTTATTTTGTTCAGTGTATTTTAACTAATTTTTTGCTTATTAATATAACTAAGCTATGCAAATCACCGTCACCATTATTGTTAGTTTTCCTAATCAATTATGTTAGACAGGCTCAAAATCTAGCGTGCGTGAGATCCAGATTAAGGAAAACCACAAGGACTTTTAGCAAATAGTATAAAATCATTTGTCCTAACTATAAAAAAAAAAATATGTCTAAGGGATGAGAAGCTAATTTCCCCTTTTGTATTTACATAGTTGTGCAATATTTTCAATTCATAGTGATATATTTATCTATTTGTTTATCATTGATATATCTCCCGTTCCATCCACCCCACATTGCACATTTGTTTTGTCCTGGTTGTTGTCACGTGTTACCTACTTTTCTTTTTAATTCGTGTTACCCAACTTGCCCCTACACTTTTAATTATTCATCGATTGATGGATGAATACATAATTCAACCCTTTCCAATTAGTCGGATGAATTGTTTTGTTGGTCGACCAATTTTTTGTTAGTGGACTGAGTTTTTTTGTTTAGTTATTCGAATGTATTTCTTTTTTAGTTACTCGTTTGCAGTCGATTGAGTTTTTTTTCCCTTCGTTGAAATTTTTTTTACTTTGCGGGTTAAGATTTTTGCTTAGTCGACTAAATTTTTAATTAATGGGTTGTTTTAGTCGGTAGACTCTTATCGACTATTTTCGTTAATAGACTATTTTACTCATCCTTTTAATTTGTTAACGAATAATCCAATCCGACTATTTTATAATTAACTATTTTTGGGGCTCTTTGATACAAATCATTCAATACTTCTTTTAATAGGAAGAGGCCCAAACTATTTTGCACCATTTGAGAAAAATCTCTTTCTAATTATGCTCATGCCACCTCATCAACACTGTCAATTATGCTCATATAGATACGGCCACGGGCCAGTTCGGGCCGGTTGCGGGGCGGTTCAAACCGGTTCACGGTTCACATTTTCCGGAACCGGAACCGGCCCGTAGTATGGGCGGTTCAGCGGGCCGGGTTGGCCCGCCGGTTCGGGCCGGTTCCGGGCCTATCCGGGCCTGTTCCGGGTCGGCCCGGAAATTTTGAATTTTTTTTTTTTTTTTGAAATATTTTATGAATAAGTAAATTAAAAGAAGTACTTCTAAATAGAAAAAGGAAAAGGAAATATATGAAAATACTTGAACTTAATTTTAAATTCAAAATTTTAAAGATTTCGAATTTAAAATATTTTTTTGAAATATTTTATGAATAAGTAAATTAAAAGAAGTACTTTTAAATAGAAAAAAGGAAAAGGAAATAAAATTGGGGGGGGGGGGGGGGGGGGGGGGGGAGAAAATTTTTTTTTGGGTGGGGGGGGGAAGAATTCAAAAAAAAAAAAGTAAATAACGGCTGGTTCACCGGGCCGGTTCACCCGGGCCGGTTCACCCGGGCCGGTTCACTAGCCGTTAGTTGCTTTTTTTTTTAATTTTTTTGAATTTTTTTTTATTTTTTTAACCGCCGGGCCGGCGGTTCACCGTTCACCATTTCTCAGAACCGGGCCCGTCCCGGGTAGGACAGGCCGGTTCACGGGTCCGGGCCGGTTCACTCGGTCAACGGGCCGGTTTGGGCCGTCAACGGGCCGGTTCCGGGCCCAAAACCGGCCCGTGGTCGTGTCTATGCTCATGTCACCACATCAACACTATCACCAATTATGCACCCGCCACCTCATCAACACTATTTTGTAATTTTTTTTTTTATTTTTTTGAATTTTTGATTTTTCTTTATGTTTTTTAAACTTTTTTTTCTCTATCAGGTATATTAATCGACTATGAGGTATAAGCATAGTCGATTAAGAATCTGACTATTATAAATAAGAAATCACAACTACAAAATAATACAAAATCAACTATATTTTACAAAAACAAAAAATATACAAACATTATAATTGATTTATACAATTGGAATCAATAAACAAAAAAATCAAAAAAAAAAAAAAAAATTGGAGTTGGTTAACCATAATCGACTACCAGAGCATAGTCAATTAACTTAATCGGTTATTAAAAATATATATAGTCGATTAAGGTTCTAGCTTGCGCGAATTTCTCTACCAGCGCCATTATCCTTCCGATGCACCAAAAGACCATAAATCTACGTCCCCATCGTCACCACATCGCAGCCACACCACACTTTGTCAACCATAGTGGGAGTTCGATCTCCCAGTTTCAAGAATTGAAATCCTCCATTAACCACTTTACTGAAGAACTCGATTATAATATAACAAGCAGAAAAGAGAGAGAAAAAAAAGAAAAAAAAAAACACACAAAAGAAAGAAGATGAAGAATCTAGAAATTCATACTTTGTTCTCAACAAACTGTAATCTTGTCAAAATCAACAGAAAATTCTGACAGATCTACTCACACTCATGACATATTTGCATCAATTAATCTCAAAACAAATTGGGTGTTGTTATTTTCTCTCTTAATTTCTTACGCGATTTATTGTAAAAAAAATAAAAACAAAAAAAAGATATTAATGTGCATACGACTTCAATCCCGTTGATCATATGAATGACAACCTTTCCCATTTGTACAGAGAAGAAGAGGAGGAAAAATGAGGAGAGAGAGAGAGTACCGTAGAGAAGAAGAAAATGAGGAAAAATGAGAGAGATAGTGTGTGTGTGTGTGTGTGTGTGTGTGTGTGTGTGTGTGTGTTCGTGAGAAGATGAGGAAAACGGAGGAGAGAGAAAGAAAATATGTACGTAGAGAAGAAAAAAAGGAGGAAGGAGGAGAGAATGTGTATAGGACAATTAATGATAGATTTAGAATTATGAAAATATTATTTGGATGGAATATTGAATAAAGGGGTATTTTCTAATTATTTTTTGGAGGGGGTGCTTCCTTAATTAGATTTCCTAGATAAGGGGGTTCATGCTAATTTTCACGTTTTGTTTTAACCAGAGAGAAGTTCTATTTATCCAATATCCTCGCACCAGATTAAAGTATGCATAAAAATTGATATTCACCACACCGTTCAGAAGTGGCTTCCAATTGTTGTGATGTTGAATTACCATTTTAGACTTGTGGTAGGTTCGGATAAGGGGTGTAAATGAGGCGAGTCGGCTCGACAACTGCTCGAACTCGTACTCAAATTTTTTCAGTTCAAGCTTTCTGATGAGTTGAGCATGGACTCATTTTTAATTGTTCATGAGCTCGCGAGCTGATTAGCGACATTTTTTAATGTTTTTTAAATATAATTAATATAAAATAAATAACAAATTCATATAAATAATTAAAAAAAATTACATAACATTTTTTTTTATTTTGAACTTTTTTTGTTATAATTTATAATAATAAATTTTTAATAATATTAATAAAAAATATAAAAAATGGTTTAGTTTCGAGTTCGAGCTCAGGAAAAACAATACTCGAAGAGCTCGAGGTCGAGTTCGTCAAAATGGATGCAAGCTCGAGCTCGTCAAAATAGCCAAGCTCGACTCGTTTACACCCAGTTGGGCTAAATACCTAACACGCAACTGCACGTATCACAAACAAGTAGTAAAAAAGGACTTGTGAGAGTCGCATGTCGACCCACAGGGAATACTCAAATTACCTAATCCTAAGTACCGAATTCAAACAATTATGAATTTTATCCAGCCTACGCAAGGTTGTCAAGTTTATCAACTACATAATTAAACTAATTATGAAAACAAATAAACACGATAAAATATCAATAAAAACGGACCTAGGATTTTATCTTCCCCATATGCGATAATTCATCATCCAATAAAACCTCATGCAAGTTACGATTCCTAATTATTAACCTGAGACGCTAAATTACTCATAACCCGTTGTCGCGTGTATTATAAGTCTATTATTCATAAACAGTTCACTATATGTCTATGCAAACAAATTATGAAGAAAGCGTTAACTAATAAGTCTCATAAACGGCTACCTAAGGTGATATTTGTATGTCTACGATAACACATGTAATTAACACACTAATCCGGTGAAAACTACTCGAAGGTTGTTCTACCCCTGTTCTATTTATTAAAACGATCTGTCGATTCAATTCTAACAATAACACATAGCAACATAAATTAGCTAGATTCATACACTAAATAAGATCAGGTAGAAGAAATAATCATTTAATTAAACTTGCATAATATTAGAAAAATAGGTTCAAATCACTACGAAGGGTTCTAATAAAGTCCTAGATTAAAAGTTTAGCTACTCATGTTCTCTACGAAAAACATCATAAAAATAAGAAAAATACATAGATTTAGAAAAGAAAAATAAAGAAAGAACTATGATGAAGATTCGTTAGGTCATCGTCTTCGATTCTCCATTCCCTCGCTCCTGTTGCTCTAAGATTGTGTAAAAAATTCCCCTAATTCGTGAATGTCTTTGTCCTTAAATAGATGCTTCGACTTGGTAGAAAATTTGGGTTTCCTTGCGCGATTAAATGCCGATCCAAATTGTTCAACCATAGTTTCCTAATTAATAAACAATGAAATGCATTAGGGATTTAAAACATATATGTGCATTTTTATTATATTCAAAATCAAAATTAATATGACATATATTTACTGAAATAATGCAGATATGGCAGCAACGTTCTCACATATCTCCATCCTCATTATCCCATCACTCATCATAATCTTCACCATTTTCATCATCAAACAAATTCAAAACAAATCAAGAAACATTAATCTCCCACCAGGCACATATGGTTGGCCCATTCTCGGTGAAACACTCGAATTTCTCAACACACGTTTCGACGGATTACCACATAAATTCGTCCAAGAAAGAGTGGACAAATACAACTCCAAGGTTTTCAAAACTTCACTCATGGGACAATCCGTAGCCGTCCTATACGGACCGTCCGGCAATAAGTTTTTGTTCAGCAACGAGAATAAGTTGGTCACTGTTTGGTGGCCTAGTTCCGTCAGGAAAATACTCGGAACATGCATATCCACAACCGGTGGTCTACAAGGTATGCACATGAGAAAGATGGTCTCTTACTTTGTCTCTCCGGATGCATTTACTAAGCTCTACATCAAGAAAATGGATTTGACAGCTCAACAGCATATAGCTAATCATTGGCTAGGCAATGATGAGATTAAGGTTTTTGAAGCCATCAGATTGTACACGTTCGAGGTGGCGTGTCGGTTGTTTATGAGCATTGAAGACCCAATGCATATAGATACGCTTGCTACACTTTTTAATGTTTTCATTAAAGGGGTTATTTCGATACCTATAAATTTTCCAGGAACGAGGTTTTTCAAAGCAAAGAGAGCAACGAATTCGATCAGGAAGGAACTTGAGAAGATAGTCAAACATAGGAGAGTGGCTTTGGAAGAGAAAACAGCTGTACCTTCACAGGATCTTCTGTCTCATTTGCTTTATTACCCAGACGAAAACGGAAAGTTCATGTCTGAGGAAGTCATTATAAATAATATACTGATGCTTCTCTTTGCGGGACATGATACCTCAAGTTCTGCTCTAACAATGTTGATCAAGTATCTTGCACAACACCCTCAGGTCTATCAGAAAGTATTAACAGGTCAGTTTTCTTGTTTTTTTCTTTCTCCTTGCCTAAAAATCGAGGATTTATCTGAATTAATTGGTATATGGAGAGCAGAACAAAATAAGATAGCATCATCGAAAAAAGACGGGGAGTTTCTGGAGTGGGAGGATTTGCAGAAGATGAAGTACTCATGGAATGTGGCATCCGAAGCAATGAGATTATCGCCGCCATTAATAGGTGCATTCAGAGAAGCTGTGGTGGATTTGAATTATGGAGGCTATGACATACCAAAGGGATGGAAGGTGATATACTTGTACATGTAGTTGAATTAATTTAATTTTTTTTTAAATGTGAGTAATGAATATGAAAACATGTAATGCATGCAGTTGTATTGGAGCTCATCTTTGACACACAGAGATCCGAATTTGTTTAAAGACAGCAAAGATTTTGATCCATCGAGATTTGAAGGGACGGGACCGATACCTTACAGTTACGTTCCGTTTGGAGGGGGGCCTCGTATGTGCTTGGGTAAAGAGTTTGCTCGATTGGAGATACTTATATTTCTTCACAATCTTGTCAAAACATTCAAGTGGGAATTGGTGATTGATAGTGAGAAAATCATATACGATCCCATTCCTACCCCTGTCCAAGGCCTTCCGATTCGTCTTCGACCACATCATCATGCCTAAGGATTTTTCTTTTTAATTTAATGAAAATGAATTATGTAATAAATGTTGGAGCATGAGACTCTATGTGTTGTGGTGATGGTGTTAAATGTTACAATTTATTTGAGACCGTTATTTGTTGTATTCACATTACATTACAATGAATTTCAACAACTGATGCATGGGACTAATTAAGGTCATTGTTTGATTATTATGTTATTTTTTATAATGTAATTATTAGCCAATTTTAAAACTGAATCAACGAAATATGTTTTATGACATTTTATAACCTTTGGTGTTGAATTGAGATACTTTGGATGTGGAAATAGCACTACTATTTTCTTTTCTAAATAATGAAAATAAAGTAAGACATACGATAAAAAAAATTATCAAAACCAAATTGTATACAAATAATATGAAATACGGATTTGTTAAAAACTGAAAATGGCATATTTTGTGGAAGTAGAAGCTATATAATTTAAAAAAAACGTGTAGAAAATTAGGAAAGAAGGGTTCAATAAGGTATACACAATCTATTTATATAGTAATAAAATAAATTTTGTGTATAAATTACGTATACAATTTAGATGTCTTTTATGGTAAGTTCACATTGTTTGAATATATTTTTGATAATTTAGGAAAAGTTCATGAATGAAAATTGAGATTGGAAATATATTAATCCTATAATTTAAAAGAGTGCTTTATATTGATAAATTGGAATGTAATAATTAAGGAAAGAAATGAAAGAATATTGGATCAAAGTTGAAGACATAAAAATCTTGATTATGTATTCTTCCTTTATATATTATATAGATATTAGTATCTTTATAATATATAAAAGTTGAATTTCACAACTAATTGATTGACATTTGTCAATTTCAATTGGTGACATGTATTCAATTTCATCCTATTTGGCAAATTGATTGGTGAAAATAAATCATCAAAAAACATGTCAACATTTTCCAAAATTAAAAAGATATTAAATTATGTTATTATATATGTATATCTTAATATTTATAAAAGGGCAAATGGCAAAAAGGCCATCACATGGGACTTAAATGCATTTTGGTTCACAAAAAAAACAGTCTCTCAATTAAGCCCATCCCCATGTCTTAGGCTAAAATACCCTCAATAATATAATTCTTATCAATTCCATCCATTAAACTCTAACTTTCTTAATATTACACATTGACCCCGAATTTAAACAAATATATCACATTAACCCCCAAAACTTTTTTTTTTTAGGAAAATAAATTTTTTTCTGAAATGTTTTTTTTCCGGCCAGATTCCGGCGTTGACCGCCGGAGACAGCCGGTCTCCGGCGTCGACTTTTTTTTTTTTTTTTTGAATTGTTTTTCTTAGAAAAAATATATTTTAATTAATATTACTGTCTTGGCTACTAAATTACTGTCTCAGACAGTAATATTACTGTTTGGGACAGTAATATTATGAATATTATTTTTCCGAATAGTAATATTATTAATATTATTGTCTAAGACAGTTAAATTACTGTTGGAAGAAAAATAATTTAACATCCAAGGCAATAATATTAATTAAAATATTTTTTTCAAGGAAAAAAAAAAGTCAATTAACAGTTAAATTACTGTCTCCGACAGTTAAATAACTCCCGGAGACAGTAATTTAGCAACGGATACAGTAATATTAATTAAAAATATTTTTTTTAAGAATAAAAAAGTCAATTAACAGTTAAATTACTGTCTCCGACAGTTAAATAACTGCCGGAGACAGTAATTTAGCAGCCAAGCTTGTAATATTAATTAAAATATTTTTTCTAAGAAATACCAAATTATAAAAAATAAAAAAACAAATTAAAAAAAAAAGTCAACGCCGGTCAACGGCGGCGACCGGCGGTCTCCGGTGATGGCGGGTCATAATTGGGGTCAAAATTGAAATTAGGGTTAAAATTGGTTAATTAATGAAATTGGGCTAAATTGGGGTGTAAATCATGAAATTGAAGTTAAAATGGGTTTCAATGAATTTGGGGTAATTTTGGTATATATAAAAGGATTTTCCTTATTTGCAAATAAGTTTGAATGGGTTGGATTTATTTGAAAGACAAAAAAATTGGATGCCCCTCTTTTAATTAAGTGCCCTTGTCATGGGCCTATTTGCCATTACCACTTTATAAAATGCTCTAAATATATCAACTTTCTTAAAAATTTTAAATAGTTTTATTTTCTAATTTAATTTTAATAGTAATTAATTTAATTTAAATTTATTTAAATTCAATTGAAAATCTTCATTTATTATAATTGTATGATTGATGGTGTTACATAAATTTTGTATTTTAATTTATGAACTTGAATTTATAAAAAAAAATTGCGGAATAAATTATTGGGCAAATTACCAAAACCCCCCTGAGGTAAGCCTAAATAACGAAAATCCCCCTCACGTTCTCGTAATTACGAAAACCCCCCTTGACTAACGGTTGACCGAATTTTTTTAACCGAAAACGTGAAATGTCTATTATATCCTTCTGTTAAATATGTAAAAAAATAAAGGGCAAATTACCAAAACCCCCCTGAGGTAAGCCTAAATAACGAAAATCTCCCATGGCATCCCTTTCAGTTGATGATTTATTGCTTTTATAAATTTATTTATTACTTTGTAATTTGTATTGATAATTTGATATTATAATTTTTTTTTTTTTATTTATTTATTTTAATTGATTTTATTTATCCAGAGGAGTATTCATACGGATTTATGCTTTTAGCTTGAATGATGCATGGTTGTATTTCTCGAATTGTAAAATATTTAAATTTATATATAAAAAATAATTAAATTTTGAAATCTCATCCATTGATTTTTTTAATCCAATAAAAATACATTGTACTTTCATAATGATTGATTATATTTGGGTTTAATTTAAGAAAAATAAGTATTTTGCAGACACTTATATATTTCATAAAGAGTATATATTTATGACCCCTCATTAAATAAAATGCTTACAATTACCCCCCTAAGGGTAATTTCGTGTACAAGGGCAAAATTGGTATTATCGGAGGAATATTCAGGAGAATCAAAAAGATTCTATCAAGTTTAACACCGTTAGAGCGATTTGTAAGATGTCTGCATACCTCAGGGGGGGTTTTCGTAATTACGAGAACGTGGGGGGGATTTCCGTTATTCAGACTTACCTCAGGGGGGTTTTATATTATACATTTTACATGAACATGAGCAGAGAATATGTTTATATTTTTTATTAATTTAATATCATATTCGTAATTATCAAAATTTCCCTAATGTTTGTTTCCGTCTCACATCGACCCCCTTACGGAATGATTGTTCACGGAATTCATTTTTATTACGTGGAATATTCCTCGAAAAATGCTGATTCTACCCTGCACTCGACTATTTGTTTATGGTACTTTTTTGAAGACAAAAATTACCCTGATGGGGATTTTACACGAAATATTTATTCTTCTTAAATAACATTTTCACAACTTTGTAGTATTACTATTACCTCCCCTAAGGATATTTTTTGTATTTAAAGACTAAGATAAAAGAAATGTCACGTCTGCAAGGGTAGAATCCACAATTTTTGGGATACTACGTTGAATAAAAAAAAATTCGTAAAAAAATCACACCATAAGGGGGTTGTGTAAGACATAAACAATCACCTGGGGGATTTTGGTAATTACCGATAACTGGGGGTGGTTTCCGTAATTTAGCCTAAGTTCATGAGGATTTTCGTAATTTATCCTATTAACAACGATTACCGTTCTTTTCACGTCTTAACGTTCTCTTATACCCTTATATTATTTTAAATAATTTTAATGTCGGCTTGATAATATAATTAAATATTAATTTCTAATATATTTAATATGTGTTTCTTGATGTTTCAGGTACCGCACAAGGCACAAAGAATTTGGTATAAAAGTTGCGAGATTGAATAAAATTGTTTTTTATACAAAATAATAGATAATTGCAAAAACATTGATGCAAAATTGGAATTAGGACTGTGATTAGTATTAGCATTAGAATTATGATTATAATTAATATTCTTTGAATTAGTATTAGTATCAATACTAGGATTAGGATTCAGATTAATATAGTATTATAATTAATATTAGAATTAGGATTATGATTATGATTATGATTAATATTAGTAATTGAATTATAATTAAGATTATCATTATTGATTAGTACTACAATTAGTGACATGTATTAGTATTATTATTATGATTAGCAATAGGATTAGGATTGTGGTGAGAATTAAAGTTAGAATTATAATTAGAATTAACATTAGCATTATCATTAGTATTATTAGTAGTAAAACTATTAGGATTATAATTGATGTTAGAACTAGGTTTAGGATTCGAATTATAATTAGGATTAGAATCATGATTAGTGTTATGAATAGGATTAGGAGTATGATAAGGATTTGGATAATATTAGTATTACGATTATAATCAGCATAAACATATCCACATTTAACATTAACATTAAAATTAGTATTAGCATTAGAATATGTACATTAGCATTAACATTAACAATATTAACATATTAGTATTAGAATTAATATTAATATTAGTATCAGTATTAGTATTAATATTAGTATTAGTAATAGTATTAGTAATAGTATTAGTAATAGTAATAGTATTAGTAATAGTATTAGTAATAGTAATAGTATTAATATTACTATTAGTAATAGTATTACTAATAGTATTAGTATTAATATTAGTGCTAATATTAGTTTTAGTATTAATATTAATATTAGTCTAAATATCAGTATCAGTATCAGTATCATTATCGGTATCGGCATTAGTATCGACATCAGTATCGGTATCGGCATCGGTATCGGTATCGGTATCGGTATCAGTATCAATATCAATATCAATATCATTATCAGTATCAATATTAATATCAATATCATTATCATTATCAGTATCAGTATCAGTACCAGTGCATGTATCAATATCAGTTTCAGTTTCAGTATCCGTATCCTTATCAATATTAGTATCAATATCAGTATCAACATTTGTATCAATATAAGTATCAGTATCAACATTTGTATCAATATCAATATCAATATCAATATCAGTATCGGTATGAGCATCAGTATCAATATCAATATCAATATCAATATCAATATCGATATTAATATCAGTATCAGTATCAGTATTAGTACGAGTATCATTAAAATTGTGAGTATCAGTATGAGTATGAGTATCAATATTAGTATGAGTATCAATATTAGTATTAGTATTACTATGAGTATCATTATCAGTATCAATATCAATATAAGTATTAGTATTAGTATTAATATTAATATTGCTATGAGTCTCAGTATTAGTGTCTATTTCAGTATCAATATTAATATTAGTATTAATATAATATTATTATGAGTATTACTATGAGTATAAGTATTAGTATCAATATCACTATAATTATCAATGTAAGTATCAATATTATTATTAGTCTTAGTATCAATGTTAGTCTTATTCTTAGTATTACTATTAGTATCAATATGAATATTAATATTAGTATTAGTATTGGTACGAGTATGACAATTAGTATTAGTATCAGTATTATTATTAATGTTTGTATTAATATCAGTATTAGTATCGGTATTAGTATTGGTATTAGTATTAGTATTAGTATTAGTATTAGTATTAGTATTAGTATTAGTATTAGTATTAGTATTAGTATTAGTATTAGTATTAGTATTCGTATTAGTATTAATATTAATATTAGTACCAGTATTATTACCAATATTAGTATTAGTATCACTATTAGTATTAATATTAGTGTTAGTATTAGTATTAACATTAGTATTAGTATTAGTATTAATCGAATTAGTATCACTATTGGTAACAGTATTGGTATCGGTATAGGTATCAACATTAATATCAGTACTGTATTGGCGTATAGATCATATCTCTTTTGCAATATTTATAAGTTTTATTGTTGTTTGAGTAATGTGCTTCACTAATTGAACGCCACAGTGATAAACTTGCAGGTTATTTGAATATCTATTGTGTTACTTCTCTACTACCGTGTTTGTTGTTATCTTAGTTATTTTATAGAAGATTCACATGGTGTATGTAGTACATTGCAATCCAAGAAATAGAGTTATACCATTTGTTTTACATGATTTCACTTAATCTTGATATCGTGTTTTGCGCGCTTCATGTTTTCTTATTTGTAATATTTAACTTGATTTCATATGTTACGACTCTAAATTAAGAGATTAAATTTATGTTTTTTATTTCCTTCCATTTTGTTTTACTTGAATTGGTATTGTTATAAAAAGATAGTCGTTTACATAAGTTTATTTTTCTCATTTTGCAACGCACGGGTGAAATACTAGTTAGCATTAGAATTATGATTAATATTAGTATTAGAATTATAATTAAGATTATGATTATAATTAGGATTACTATTAGTATTATGATTAGCATTAGAATTAAGATTAGAATATGAATTAGAATTAATATTAACATTAGCATTTAGCATTATTAGTATTAGAATTATTGGGAATAGGATTAGGATTATGATTATGTTGGGAATATGATTATGATTAGGATTAATATTAGAATTAGGATTAGTGTCAGGAATAGGATTATGAATAGGATAAGGATATGAGTAATATTAGGATTACACTTATAATTAGAATTAGCCTCAGTATTAGCATATTCAGATTTTTAACATTAGCATTAACATTAGTATTAGTATATTAGCAGCATTACTATATTAAAATATTAGTATTAGTATTAGCATATTAAAATATTAGGATTAGTATTAGGAATAATAATAATATTAGTATTAGTATATCTATTGATATTAGTATAGCTAATATTATTAGTATGACTATTAGTATTAATATTAGATTAATATTAGTATTAGTATTAGTATAAGTATTAGTATTAGTATTACTATTAGAATTAGTATTGATATTAGTATTAGTTTAGCGATATATGGTATTCTTCCTTTCGTTTTCAGCACATCGTTCTGTCAAGATAGTGGCGTATACGTCTTATCTCTTTTGAAATTTTTACAAGTAGTATTGTTGTTTCAGTATTGTACATCACAGTATGGACGCCATTAATAACGTTTCACTAGAGGTTTGCTCTTCGCGTTTCTCCTTTATAATACTTAATTTGCATTTCATATGTTACAACTCTAGATTAATAGATAAAGTTTATCTTTCTTTGATTTCTTTCGATATTATTTTACAAGAATTAGATTTGATACAAAGAGATGGTCACTTACATAGCGTTATTTTTCTCATTTTGAAGCCTTTGATCTGTTTCATTGTTAAAGGTTAGTTGTTCATATAATTCATGCTTTTTATAGTTGTCAATCATTCATCCAAGCCATGTTTTGAACACAACAAAGCCCTCCATTTTTTCAGGAGAGAAACAAACAAGTCAATATGCTACTTTCTATATTTCAATTTCTCACTAAATTGCCACAATTACTTGGATGTACAAAAGTATCTGGTCTTTTTCCTTCACAACTGTATACTTCAGTAACAAATAATAAACTTATATATATATTATTATATATTATATATATAGATTGATGGTGAAATGTTCTACTCATGTCTTTACAAGAGTAGACGAGGGTTTGGACGACGGAGGAACAAGCGACTTTGCATATGCAAGCGGCAGAGCAAGAATCTTCTTCGGTTTGCTAACATAAGCCCTCCTCGTGAAATTGTTGTAGTCGTTCGCTTCTATCTCGTCCAGTATTTGTCTATACAGAAGCAACGATGCCCACACCTGAGACGAAAATTCAAGATTATTTTCTTTATTTTTTATTTAAATACTGAAAATTCAATAATTTGACCAAACAAGGTTTTAACGAGGACCCATTTTCCCAATGAATTCAAAATAAATATTTTCCGCCAAAATAAAATAAATTAATTAATAAATTATCGAAAATGCTTACAGGCCATCTACTAGCTGCGCTTAGCTCAGTGACACCACTCTCTGCATCGTCGAAGAATTTCCTCGCCCTAGCAATTTGCTTCTTCATAAAATTTCTCCATTTATCCGTCACTTTCCCGGCGAATATATCTTCATCGGATAGTCCCGCCTGCGCCAGCTCATCCTGCGGTAGATACACTCTTCCTCGCCTCGCACTGTATTTTCCAACAAAATATACAGTTAAACCTCTATAAACTGATACAGTTGAGACCAGCAAAATTCTATTAATTTAGCGGAATAATATTAAATTATGGAATTAATATTAAAAAAAAAAAAACGTACTCTTCACCAACATCTCGGAGAATATTGGTCAACTGATTAGCCAGACCTAAAGCCAAAGCAGCATTATACACACTCTCCGTTGTAGCCTGCGATTCGGGTGCTATGCCCATAATCGGCACACTCATTAATCCAACAGTACCAGCTACATAGTAACAGTAGAGATACAACTCGTCGAAGTTCTTGTATCTCGATTTCCACAGGTCCATTCTCATACCGTCAATCATATCTTTAAATGGCTGCACAAAAATTTATTCACGTATTATTTATCAACCAACTATTACATCATGTACTCGGTTCACAAAATTTAAAAAAAAAAAAAAAAAAAGATCTATTACAAGATGTATCAAACCTGGATGTCGACAGGAAACCTAGTAACGGTATCGGACAAAGCGGCGTCGAGCATGTCGAAAGGTCGCCCGCTGAAAATATCGTCCAGCCTGTCTTCCCATCTATCCAATGCGGTTGGAGTTATATGCGACGCGTTTGGACCGTCTACGAGTTCGTCGGTTCTCCTACACCACACTGTTCAATACGTACGAAATTATGAAAATTCGATCGACATTTGTCACGGGTTTTCTTTTACATTAGCAACAAGAAAGATGATCAAGAGAATTGAAGCATTGACTTCAAGAAAATAGGACCAAGTTTTTCGAGATCGAAACGAAATAATTTAGAATATTTCTAATTAAACGTGTCACACATGGTAGACGGTCAATGATTTGTTTTGTTGTCATGATTCGATTTTTCATTTTTTTTAATAATTAAACATCATTAGACTATCATGCTTCCAAACTTTACCTACTCTTTTAGTAGTTGCAATAATGAATTAGTTTAACAAAAAATTATGAACCGAACCACGATTCTTGAAATTCAGACAGGACGAAAATAAATCGAAATTGTCTTACCGTACATCGCCCATATAGCTCTTCGCCTCTCGGGTGTCATTAGCAACGTTCCTGTAAAAACAAAAAAAAACGAACCAAGCGAATAATTAACGGTTCTTGATTATTACGAAACATAAAATGTAATTAATTAACAAAAATGAGGTTCTAATTACCGAGATAAAACGTCTTGGCGTATTCTGCGCAAACTTCACGGCATCGATCGTAAGCTTCACTCAACAAGGTAACCGTACCGGGAAGAACAATATCCGGCTTCACTTCCAAATCCTCGTTCGATTTTTTAATCCGTCTCTTAACCAGAGCTGCTTGCTTCAAGACCACATCGTAGACTTTCTGCTCGGACGATAAGGCGATTTCGCCAGCTGGAGTAGCTATCATGCTATTGGTTATAGAGAATCTGCTCGATCTGTACCCCGAATCTGCGTTCGTTGAGCCGAATTTTCGACTCTTTTTCTGACCCTTTTTTATTAGATTGTTGCACCTAGCGACAGCTCGAAAGGAATCGAGGAACACGGTGCCATTTGAGAATTCCGATGTGGGAGATACCACCCACAGCAAAGCTACCGACATGGTCGAATCTCTCTCTCTCTCTCTAGAACTTTCTCTCTCTAGAACTTCGTTGGTTTGAAGAATTACAGGGTTTTTTTTCTCTTTCTTTTTGGAGATAGTTTCTAAAACAGAGAAATCAAAAGAAGAGCCAAAATTAGAAATCAAGAAATCTGAGTCCCTTGCGCAGCAATTCAACCTTGTTTGTGGAGAGAGATTCTGCAAAAAAAAAAAAAAAAAATAACAGCACCCCACCAGAAATTTAGCTATGAGTTGTCAAATCTATATATAGTCAACTGGAATACAAATAATCTCATAAACAATAACGAACCAGATGTATGGGGACACAAACAGATTTACATTAAAAATAAAAATAAAAATAAATAGAAATACTGAACATATTAAATCATAAACAAGAAACCCATTAATAAAATATATATATAAAATAAAAAAATAAAAAAAAATAAAAACCTTTGATTAGTAGAAGAAGGGTTGGTTTACTGTTGTATACTGTGTTCCAGACGAGAAAAGCGTCTTGTCTTTTCTGCAAAGAAGAAGAGAGGTGTGTGTTTTTTATGTGAGTGACATTTTTCTCTCTCTCTCTCTCTAGCTTCTCTCTCTAACTTTCTCTCTCTTGTTGTGGAAACGAGGAGGAGGAAGACGATGGACTAGAAATGAATTGAGTGATGCATATTTGCTAGGTGAGAATCCTCCAGCCATTTTCCACTGTGGAAATTTTAATTTAATTTAATTCCCCTTTTTACTGGATGGTGGGTCCCACTTTTGCCCCAATGACCCGTTTGGCTTTGCTCTAATAAACTGGTATCTTCTTTTCTTCTCTACTTAGATTCCATCGTATGTACGCCTACCTGTCTTTTTCTTTCCTTTTCTAGATGTAAAATTTTAATTTTAATTTTAAGTTTTAGGGTAAATTATGCCCGAACCTAAGCTAATGTCATATTACAAAAAAAATAAAAAATTATCGTGTTTGGGTAATTGTGTCAAATTTAGTGGAATATTCTCCAGTTTGTATTCGTTTTATCTTGAAATAAGATGATCATAAAATGTGTCTCTTAGCTTGTAAATATTGGATTGTTGCACATTAAAAACTGCATTTTTGCACAGAACGAATACAAATTAGAGAACATTTATTTAATTTGACACTATAAGGATGGACGTGTAAGAAGATTTATAGTTGAGGTCTGATTGTTTTCCAAACAGAATGGGATTTTCATAATTTAACCTTACTTTAGAGGTGGCCGTAACTTACCATAAATTTTATATTAGCATTGCATATATATATATATTCTTTTTTAGAATATCAAAATGACAAATATGGTTTATGGGTACATTGAACTAAGGGGGGAAAATTATATATAATATATTGCAAGTATAAAGCATTAAAAAGTTGAAAGTTATGTAGTAGAAATAAGTTATGTATCTCTAGAATGAAAAGGGGGATTCATATTTGTATATGAAGATTCTGGATTTTAGTTCCTATGAATCTTATGGTGGTATCTCAATGAAATGGTCTATTTTGGGCTAATTGAATTTGGATATTGCAATGTAAATCAATTTGGATGTGTTTAATTCGATCAATATTTTGTTGAGTATTTTTTTAATGTAATGAAGAACATCTCAGTCAAAATAATAGTCAATTAGGGGTGTAAATGAGTTGAATCGGTTTGACAAAAGGTTGAGCTCTAATTTTTCAAGTTTGAACTTTCTGATGAGTCGTGCACGAGCTCATTCTTAGTTTTCGTGGACTCGCGAACGTTTTTTTCTCCATTTTTTTATATTAAATATAACTAATATAAAATAAATACTAAATTCATAAAAGTAATTAAAATAAATAAATTACATATCATTTCTTTTATTTCATATTTTTTATTATAAATAATAGAAATAAAATTCCAATATTATTAATATTAATAGATAAAAAAACACAAAATTGTTCATGCTCGGGCTCAAACCCTGAAACAAATACACAAAAAGCTCGAGCTTGAGGTTGGAGGTCGCCAAAATAGCCAAACTTGACTCGTTTACACTACTATTGTTTATCACTAGCTGGTAAATTATTACAAAACGTTTTAGTACTGGATGTGTTATAGAATACAAATTCGTAAAGAAAAATAGGAAGGGGAGAGAAAAAGTGCAACCAAACGTGTCCTTAAGTTGGGGTGTGTGTAAACGTCGTGACCGACCCTAAGTAGGATCTTGCCTGGAATTAGACATATTATTATATTAATTAATAAAATAATAGCATAATTTTGTAATTAGTTGTAGAGAGAAAGCTGACACGTGTACGAAATTACCCAATGACCAAAGGATAGCCTTATCAAACGGAGTGGCCGCAGTGGTGAAAAACCCGTATACGTGTCCGTTGCCAACTGGCTGCATTGTAATTCTTTACATATTATCCCACATTGCTAGTGGAGGAGGTGGGCCCCATTTGGTTAGTGCCAAGTGTATATAGTGTTTTGAGGGTCTATGGCCAATTTTATTCAAAAAATGGCAACTCTTTTTTATTATTCTTCTCCTCTTTTTTTTTTTCAAAGTAAAAATCATGTCCAAAATTTAATGTCACATTATATTCAAAAAATGGCAACTATGTTAAATGAGGATTATAAATTCGTTGCATAACAAGTGGATCCATATTTCTTTTCAAATATGAAATTTTTTTTATATCGTTAAATTCAAGGGAAAGTGCATATAAGTCATTGACACATGCTTAATTCAAATGTGATATTTTATTTTTCTTTTTTGCAAATAAATCCGCACACTCTAACATACATTCAAAATTTATTGTTAATAAGGAAAAAAATCATACTCTATACATCATAATTACTCGTAATTCATTTGAAAAACCCCAACTCATGATTTAAACTCTAATTTATTTATTATTTCACATTAAGAGCCCGTTTGGCTAAGCTTATTTAAAACATCTTATAAGCTCCTACATCTGATAAGATGTTTTAGGAGCTGATAGGCTGTTAGATCTTATTTTAAAAATTATTTTTTAAGGTGTTTGGATATGTAGCTTATAAGTTACTTTTTGTTTTTATAAGTTGTTCAGGTGTTTGGAAATAAAAGGTCTGTTTATTGCTATAATGACAAAAAAATACATGACGCCAGTATAATTGTTAAACTTATTTGACTCAAATACTTTTGTTCCTAAAATATTATTATAATATTTACAAATTATTTTTTCAAATAATAATAATAATATAAAATAAAAGTTGTAAAAGAAATATAATTTTTTTTATAGATGAAAGAAATATAATTTATTATGGAGATAATAAGAATATTCGTGTGTTTTTATATACATATAAAATATAAATAGAGAATACTATTTTTTACAATTATTATGATAATTACGATAATTATATTTAATTAATTATTAATCTTTATTACAAGAATACGTTGTTTTGATAAAATATAAATATTATTAGTATTCATGTAATATAATAAAGTATTTGAGGGTAATTTTGTATTTTAAGTGTTTTAGTAAAGAAGCAAATAAGATCTTAAAGAAAAAAAGGTGGGGTAGAGGTATTTTTTTAAAAACATCTTATAAGCTCCCTAAGAGCTTATTTATGGAAAAAATAAGATCTTTTGCAATTTTTTTACCAAACACCTTTTAACAACTTATAAGCTCCTAAACATCTTATAAGATGTTTTTAGGAGCTTATAAGCTTAGCCAAACAGGCTCTAACACCTTTTATCAAATATTGTATATTGCAAATTTCGACTCACAGTTCTCACCACCAACAACAACTACCCGTCGCCACCACCACCACCCACAACCACCCGTTGCCATCGCTACCACAACTGCCACCACCAGCACCCACCCAACCCTCCACCACCATCTACCACCCACCATTAGGGTCGGTTCTGAGGGGGGGCGGGATGAAGTAGGCAGTCTCCTAGGGCCTCGAATATTTTTTTACGAAAATTTAGGCCCCAAATTATTTTATATACACTTTTTATATTAATACTTATCTTTCAAAATTTATTATATATAATATTTCTGAACATCAGTTCTAAAATCAATTTAAAATAAATAATCAATAGATATTTTTACAATTTTCTTAACCTTGGGCCCTCTAAATATTAAATTTATAATCTTAACTATTTATATTTATACATAAAATAAGAATTAATATTCATTAGTGTATTTTAGTTATATAAATATTTGTGAAGCATATTTGCTATAAGGATTATATGTCATGGGAGGAAGTGAACGAGCAAATCATCCTATTAATTTTGAACTTTTTCTATATTTTAAGTTATTTTATATTCATACATTTCAAAAAATATTTCAGGGGCTCTGCCCCCGAACCCTTGTAATCTTTTATTCCATCATTTTTAGAAAATATTATTTATATGTTTTTAGTATATTTAATTTTGAACACACTTTAATAAAAATTGATTTGTCAAATAGGGGCCCCGTTTTAAGTTGTTCTTAAATCTCGTCTAGGACCCCCGAATTCTCAGGAACGGCCCTGCCCACCACCACCACCACTGCCGCCACCATCACTATCTGTCACCTCCACAACCACTTGCTGCCACTTAGGCCACCACTCGCTCGCCGCCGCCACCACCTTCATCTGTTAACGTTTTTGGTCGCCGTAAAAATAGTTGGCAGTCGGCACAACAATATTATTTTTAACAAAAAAATTGTTTAAACTATTACGATGTGGTTAACGGTAATATATAGCTACAATGTTGTGGTTAGCAGTAATATAGCGTTATACGACTGCTCATCACAGTAATATTATGGTTAACCACAGTAATATTACTGTGACCACAATATTATTGTTGACAACAGTAGTATATGACTTTAATGATGTGGTGAACAGTAATGTACCACTATACTACTGCTCTCAAGAGTAAAATAGTATTATATTACTGCGAAAATTAATGTTACTGTGAACATTAATATTACTATAAAATAAAATACTCCCTTCGTCCCATATTATATGTCAATTTTGGTGGTTGGACGTATATTAAGATACTCAATAAACATGTATAGATTATATCAAAATAACATAGTAAATACTAAAATACCCTTGTCATTAATTATTTTTTAATTAACTAATTAATAGTTATAAGGGGCAAATTCGATAAAAATGCAATTAATGTTTTATTGGAACTCTAAAATGATAAATAAATTGGGAGAAAAAAAACACTCCAAAAAGACATTTAATATGGAACAGATGAAGTATCTTTTTTTTTAAATATTAATGTTCTTGTGAAAAATAATATTACAATGGAAAAAAAATTTAATAATTTTACGAAAATTAATGTTACTGTGAAAATTAATGTTATTGTGAGAAAAAAATAATGTTACTCTGAAAATTAATATTATTGTGAAAAAAGAATTAATGTTACTATGAAAAGTATGTTACTCTAAAGAGTATGGGACTGAAATTTTGGTATGTATATCAATATACCAATTTTTTTATTTAATTATTTATTTTTTATTTTAGTTTTGGTAGAACCACCACCATAATGAATTTTATCTAAATTTCGGTAATGATTTTTTGGTACAACATGTTGGTTAGAAGTTTATTTCCTGCATGTCTGAAAATGAGATTAAATGTTGAGACATGAAAAAAGAGGGGCTAAAAAGTATCTGCATTGGGCATCGTGTT